TGCTTCCAAGAACATGTTGACACAAAGTCAATCTACCACCTTTTGACAAGTGGTACCTCCTCCAACGATCAAGCTTCTTAAAGATTCTTTCCTGGACCGGAGCCAAAAAGAATCAAGTTTAGGATTTCCTCCTACAGGCAAACCCAAATATATAATCGGAAGGTGTTTAACTTTACAACAGAAGGAATTTGCAACCTGCTCTACCCTTTGATCTTCCATGTTGATACCACACAAAGACGATTTCTCCCAATTAACTTTAAGACCGGACAATCACTCAAAGGCCTTAACAGCATCAAATAGGATCTTGAGCATCCCATCACCATCTTTGCAAAACAATAGTGTGTCATCGGCAAACTGTAAATGGGAGACATGTATGAAATCCCTCCCAACTACAAAACCCTCAAAGACTTCCTTTAGATATATGTTGTCTAGCAAAATGCTAAGCAAATCACTGATCAAAATGAATAGAAAAGGAGAAATGGGGTCTCCTTGTCTCAAACCTCTCGAAGCTTTAATTCTCCTCTCAGATACCCATGGATAAAAACCGAGAAATTGTTGCCCCTAATGCAACCATTAATCCACTCAATCCACTTCCTACCAAAGCCCTTCTGTTTAAGAACCTCCAAGAGAAAGTTCTAATCTACTTTATCAAAAGCTTTTTCCATATCAAGTTTCAAAACCCAACCTTTCTTCTTTCTACATCGATAATCATTCACCACTTCATTTGCAATGAGAACAGGGTCGAGAATCTGCCTTCCACTTATAGAAGCGCTCTGATTACAAGAAATAGTGGATGAGATAACCTTGTTGAGTCTTTCTGCTAACACTTTTGATAAAATCTTGTAAGTGATGGTAGTAAGACTGATGGGACGGAAATCTTTCACTTTCTCCACTCCTTTGGAACAAGACATGAAATTCTCCTTAATACACGAATTCACCCTACCATTGCAATAAAATTCAGCAAAAAATCTCGAAAAGCCAGCCTTGCAATACTTCCAGAATTTAATGAAGAATTCAGCTGTAAAACCATCCGGTTCCAAGGCCTTATTCTTGCCAAGACCTTTTAGTGCACTCCAGATTTCGCCTTCCTCAAACGGTCTTTCTAACCATACTCTGTTTTGAATAGAAATAGGCCTCCAAGTAAGGTCCACTGGTAGAAAACACTGCTGATCCTCCTCCTTATAGAGATTTTCAAAATACTGAACAATTTCCAGCTCAATGTCCCTCAGATTTACTAAGGGATGCCCTGCAGAATCTTGCAACTCTGATATTAGAGCTTTCCTCCTCTTGGCTGCCAACCTGTAAAATAACTTATTGTTCTCATCTCCCTCCGAAAGCCACCTGATTTTACTTTTTTGGAGAAGAAATTGTTCCTCGCGAATATAGAGATCCAGCAGATTCTGTTTTCAGGAATATCTTTTCACCACTTCATCATGATCTAAACCTGAATCCTCCTCCTTGTCATCAAGCAACGAAATTTCTTCAAGAAGTTTTACTTCAGCCGCCTTTCCCTGGTGCTCTTTCTGATTATGCCACTGCTAAAGGGCAATCTTCAAGTTTCTAAGCTTAGAGGAAATTAGATAACCTGCCCAACCATATGATTTATCATCCGAGAGCTTGGATTCAATTAAACTAACACAATCCTTGTCCTTCAACCAGGAATTAAAAAATCTGAATGGATAGGCCCCATAAAATCTCACCTGAATTCAGAAAAATGGGAAAAATTATCAGAGGTAGTTCGTTCAGCTCTATACACTGAGAGTTATGGAAGAGGGAGTCCCAATCTGAAGAAACAAAAAAACTGTCCAGCAGCGAATTTGTACTATTCTTTCCCATCTTTGACCATGTATAATGTCCATTGGATTTCCATAATTTCAAGCTCCTCAATGACTTTATTGAAAATCTTCATAGCCTTCGACTGTCTTCCACCAGAAGAACGATCTGATGCCCATCTTGTGACATTAAAATCATCTCCCATACACCAAAATTTGTTGGAAAACCCGACTAAGTTGCTAATTACTTTATCTATTCTGAAATTCCCCTTATTCCTTTCAAAGCTTTCAATGAAGCTCATCTTCTTGGAACGTGTTTGGTTATTATTGAAAGGTTTTTCAAGCAATAGTGTCCAAATATAGTCTTCAACAAACAAAAACGAAGTTGGCAGATCGGATTTTCATCAAATCTCTATGATTGGGCAAAATTAGAATCGGAAGGCAGCTCAGATAGTTGGCCCATTTTATGGGATGCTTCCAGAGTTACCGCTATTCCTGTCTGAAGGAGAACTTCATTTGTCTCATTCAAAAGAAAGAAACAGCCATGAATTAAAGGATTTTAGGCCAATTAGCCTTCTGTCCTCTATTTACAAAGTGTTAGCAAAGGTGCTTGCTTATAAAACCAAGCTGGTTTTCCCTCGACTATTGCCCCAAACCAAAGTGCATTCATTGAAGGTCATCATTTTGGATCCTATTCTCATTGCATCCAAATTAGTTGAGTACAAACTTAAAAAGAAATGGAGCTGGATTATTAAGCTAGAACTTGAGAAGGCTTTTGATATGGTCAATTGGGATTTTTTATCCATGGTGCTTCAGCAAAATAATTTTGGACAGCTTTGGATTCGTTGGATCAGGGGTTGTATCAAAGAGCCTCGCTTCTCAATATTTGTTAATGGCAGATCAAGAGGATGGGTTCATGATTCTAGAGGCTTAAGGCAAGATGATCCTTTTTCATCTTTCCTTTTCCTTCGAGTAAGCGATGTGCTTGGTTCTCGCATGGAAAATATCTATGCCCGTGGTTCTTTTGAAGGCTTTGTTGTTGGTAGAAACGCCGTCCACATTTCCCATCTCCAATTAACAGACGATACTATCTTGTTTTGTAAGGATGATGATTCCATGTTAAAAACTCTCTGTGAAACAATAGCAGCCTTTGAGGTGGTTATTCCAACCTAAAGGTGAATTGGGAAAAGTCATCGGTTTGTGGTTTAAACATGGCTATGCACAGAGTCTCTCTTATTGCCTCTCAATACCGCGCTAAAGTTGAAACTTCACCGATTACAAATTTGGACTTGCAGGCTTGCCTCTAGGGGCAATCCTAACTCTTTAGTTTTCTGGCGACCTATCCTATAAATAATTTCTAAGAAACTAGAAAGGTGGAAGAGGTTCCAGTTATCACGAGGTGGTCATTTGATTCTTTGTTCAGAAGTCCTAGCCAATCTTCCCACATATTTCATGTCCATCTTCCAAGTACCTACTTCAACGTGGAAACAAATTGAGAAATTAATGGGATCCTTCTTTTGGAAAGGTAATTCTGATAGTAAGCTAAAGCATTTAGCAAATTGGCAAGTCACAGATACACCTTTTGAGAATGGTGGTCTAAGCTTAGGAGGGTTGTACGCTAAAAACAAAGCCCTTTTGACCAAATGGAGCTGGAGATACTGCTTTGACTCCTCTTCCTTGTGGCGTTCGGCGATTGACAGCATCTATGGTTCAGATTCTTTTAATTGGCAGTCTCATCCTACATCTAATAGAATGCTCTCGGTGTCCCTAGGTTAATATTTCAAAGCATTGGCAGTTAGCAAAGTAGCATGTTTAAATCTGTTGTTGGGGATGGCTCTCACTTCTTTTTGGCTTGATACTCGGGAGAGCGGCTCTCCTTTTAAAGCAAGGTTTCCACATCTCTTTTCAGTTTGCACTAATCCTTCTAGCTCCGTCTCATATTGTTGGGACACCGTTTCTCTAGCTTGGAATATTGTAGCCAGAAGGAATCTTAAAGATGTAGAATTCACGGAGCTGTCCTCCCTACTTGATATACTACACTCTTGTACTTTATCCAACCAACCGGACAGACTTAGTTGGAACCTCACCTCCTCTGGTGTCTTCACGGTTAAATCCTACTCAAGGTCTAAGATGGTCACAAGATTCCTAAGGTGTTGGTTTTAGCTCTATGGAAAGTCGGGAGAAAGTTTCAATACTTTCATGGGTTTCTCTATTTGTCAATCTGAATACCTCCAATATTCTCCAAAGAAAGCTTCCTTCCTCAGCTCTCCATCCGTCCATTTGTGCTCTCTGTTTGGCAGAAGATGATGTTCTTGAGCATTTGTTCTTTTGGTGCCCATTCTCAGCACACTGTTGGAGTTCTTTGTTTATCTCTTTCAACATCCACTGGGTTTTTTCAACTGCAGCTAAAGACAACCTAAGCCAACTGCTCTGTGGTCCCATTCTACCTCCCAAAGCCAGGGTCCTTTGGGTTAATTCAGTGAAAGCTCTGATCTATGAACTTTAGTTTGAAAGAAACCAACAAACCTTCGAAAACGAGCAGCGGGGTCAGTTGGATTGCTGGGATCAGGCCAAGTTTAAAGCTTTCCAATGGTGCTCGCTTTCTTCACTATTCAAGCATTACTCCATCTTAATCATATATTCCTCATAGGAGGCCTTCTTAGTACCTTAGTTTGTTGTTCTACTGTGTTTTCATTTATTTTGCAGCATCTACTTTTTCGTTCCTTTGGTAATTTGTATCACACTTATACTTCTTTTCATTTACCTTAATGAAAAAGTTGTTTCTTGTTTCAAGAAAGAATACAAGAAGCTTTGAGGAAAAGAAGCTTTGACCAAAAAAATAAAAGCTTTGAGGAAAGATCAAGGACAAATAAGGTAGTATATCCTACCAGGCAAGTGACTAACTAAACAAATATACAATAACTAAACATTTACATATGATAGAATATTAGAATAAAATATACCTTGAATAATTAATAGAACAAATAAGAGGCCTTGGGGCAGACGTGCATGCCCTCGGCCCCGGGTATAGGGGAGCAAAGCTCCAACTTCCAGTTATCAAAAAAAACTAATAGAACAAATAAGAAAAATATCTGGTAAGATTCCAACAGCAACATTCACAAATAGTTTCTCTTAAAAAAAAAATTCCAAAACTGCCTACACTTTTTTCTGTTCTTCGATTATTTTGCCTCTGAAAAGAAGCAAAATGTGGAAATAATCTACTTATACCTCTCTTGCCTTTTGTATGGCATTTTCTGATATGTCCAATCCAATAACATAGCGCTCAGAGCATGCCAGTTGTACAACATCGTGTCCCTGTCATATTTAAAAACTTTGATGCTTTCATTAAAAGCAATAGTAAGATTCTAGCTAATTGCTAGGTGCAAAAATTGAATTCCATGAGAATGTAGAGAAACAACTAAATTAGATGGAAGGAAAATGCTCAATTTAAAAAAAGCATAAATTGGGAGTGGTAGTATCTTGGTTATTTTGCAGTGCATCTCATTTGATAGAAACTGTATAATTTTGTATGACTAAGTTTAAACTGATTCTAACAATCAACTGTCCATTGGATTCGTCAGGGAAGCAAAGTATTCCCAGTCGTGCTAAATCATCTGTTCCAATGTTCATTCTATAGTATTTCAAACTTTCATATAACTATCATTGCTGTCACATCCATTCTTCAGACATTTATATACTGTAGCTCGTCTTTATTCTTGGCGATTGGAATTCTAAGTGTAATTTGTAAAGAGGGGTTTTTCTTTGTCGTCTTTGTCTTTTACTCTTTTGGTCAATGCTGTTTTATGGCATGACTTTGCACTTTTATCTTTATTTTTTTAATATAGAAAACAGATAGACTTTCATACTTCTGTCTTTATAAATGGAACTTTTATTTTAAATTAGTAAAAATAGCAATTGATTCTTCAGGCTTGTTTTCGGTGAGCTCTTTATGCTCGTTAGGCTCTTCAGCTTCCCCTATTCCAAAGGTTTTCTAACTCAGCGCTTTGGAAATTCAACATGTCTGCTTTCTTGGATTTTAATTAATGGGAAAGTAAATGCAGCAAATATCCTTCAGAAGAAGCTGCCTGATTTAGTCTTATCCCCATCAAGGTGTGTTTCATGTGCGGCTAGTGGAGAGTGCCAACAGCATCTCTTCTTTCAATGTTTGTTTGCCTTGGCCTGTCGGGAGTTTCTCATCAATTTTCTCTGTGTTTGGTCTTTTATTCGAGCGTTCCTTCCAACATTTTGCAGCTGCTGTGTGGTCCAGTTTTCTCTCCAAAAGTGAAGCTGTTGTGGGTTAATTCCATTAAAGCTTTATTATCAGAGCTTTGGTGAGAAGAAATCAAAGGACTTTTGAGGACAAAAGTAGATTGCCAAAGGAGTGTTTTAGTCTAGTCAAGTTTAAAGTCTCTCATTTGTGTTTTCTAATTATGCCCCTAGTATGATTTCTTCTAATTAGGAGGCTTTTATAACTCTCCTTTAAGTTCTCCACTTCTTTTAGCACTTCTTCACTACTTCGAGAGTTTGTATCTTTGAACAATTTTTGTTGTTTTCGTTCATTAGTGAAAAGTCCGTATCTTGTTAAAAAAAAATAGCAATAAAATCACAAATAAACCAAATTACATACACTTCCACATCCAGGAACAAGGGCACGACCATTTGGAAGAGCTCCTATTGCACAGAGATGACTAATCACAGGTGTCGGCTGTCCTAAATCCCATGGTGTCAGACCTTGCTCCCAGCATATCTCCCAACCACCTAATTAGTAAACTTTTGAAGCATGATCACAATGGATGACATATTATAGTTACAGTAGACAACATCAAAAATGAAAGGATATCCAGTCCAACACAATGCAAAAACATGAAAAAAGATGTCAGCAAAAATTGACTCGTTGAGACCCATGCCATTGAAGTATGATTGCATATAATTGCCCGTGCACATGTATCACACATGAAGCTCGGCATCATGCCATATCTACATGCTGCGCCGAGTGCCCAATTTCTGTTTAGGCATGCCACCCAACATTCTTACCCGATATTCCCAAGCTGCCCAATGTCCAGCCTATCCTACATGTCTCAACCCGGCTACATTGCCACTTGCATCTGTTTTATGTGATTGGCACTAAGCCCAACACATGACACATGCATCTGTGCAAACCAAATGCACCATGCCACTGATCACTAGACTCATGCTTCTTGTAAAGCCTCGTGCTTCTTGTAAGCCTCATTCCAATTGTCTATTCAATTGTTCGGCAACATACCTTTCTAGCATGCCCAACCTCGTCCATGCAACCCTCCCTAACATGTTTGCCACTCACAGACACGTTCATTTGTTTAACCACCTTGTCAAACACCCCACTAGAATATCCACTGACCTCTTTATCCTAAGTATAGTCGAAGACATGTTATGCCATTGAAGCACCATACAATAATGGGACACTAGACACAATAGCACTGGTCTTCCTAGAGAAACTCTCTATCCCACACACTATTTAAAAAAATAAAAATAAAAAATCCAAAAACTAACGAAATGAGATTTTAGTATCCATCTAAATATAAAAGTGAAAACAAAAGGTAGCCACCCATCACAAATTTATAAAGAAATCCACTTTTTACGGCAAAATGTGTTGAGCAAAAAAAGGTTCCCAGGCAAACACTCAAACAAGTCTATAATAATTATTCGCTGTTAAGCTGTTCAAAAGAGTGCTAATGTCAAGCAAATATTATCAGCCATTTCATTGAATTGAAACCTATCGATGTACTATTTCTTGAAATGCAACCTAAATCGCCGGAAAATTCCCATTCTAATTAGGTATTCATCCTTCAAATAACATAATTGATCCCAAAAACGGCAATACATCACGAACACGACGCTTAAGGCCAAACGTGACAGAACAGGTATAAATCGAAAAATGTTGAACTAAGAGAAAACTGTAACATCCAGCGAGTCATTCAAGTATACTCTAGGAAGCCTAAAACAGACAGAAGCAAAATTTCAATTGTGCAAAATTTTCACCAAATACACGAATCCGAGAAAATATGAAATCAGTTGAAATTCGCATTAAACAGGGTTGAAAGAAACTCGCCATTACCAGTTTGGTCGGTGCGCATAACGTTTTGAAACTTATCGAGACGCGATTGATGATCGGATTTCGAAGCGTTGTGTTGTGCATTATCTTTGTTCATCCTAATTTTCGTCGTCAGAACTCGATGGCTTTGAAATGGAGCAGCTCCAAGTATTGAAGGTAATTTTCTAGTGCCGAAGAGCATAACTTGGAAGCCGAGAAATTTACAACGTTTCAATTCATTAATTAGCAAAAATCCCTTAAAATGCGGCTTTCAGGGAACCATATTTCTGATCCAGATGCCTCCCCTTTTACCTCTCTCTCCCTATATACACACTATTTAGATGTGGTTTCAAATTTTAATCAATATAATTTTTATTGGTGCTTAAATATTAAAATTTGAGTATATCGCTGTAAACTAAAATGGTTACTTGATGGAACGTTTGATTTTGGAGAGAATATATTTCATGGACCATTTTTTTCTTGAAGAAATTTATCATGATCATGGTTAAAACTAAAATTTTGATTAATATTCATTTTAAAAGAGTAATATACTGCATAATTGACATAAAAGAATTAGAAATTTAAGTAAAGAAAATGTAAATTATGTTAATGATGGATAGCTTAATTTAAGGATAGTTGAAATAGATATTTTTTTTTTTTGGTAAAATACATTTTTAGTCCCTAAGTTTGAGGATAGATTTCTATTTGGTCTCTAAGTTTCAAAAAGTGACAGTTTAGTCCCAACTTTTAGAAAATGGTTCTAAATGATCCCAAAAGTTAAACTTTCGTTAGTATCGAAATGCTGACATGACCTTTTAAGGTCTTAGGTGGCATTTGTTGATGTGGCATTTGTATTTTTAAAATAAAAACAAATAGTTGTTTCTAAATCTTACGTGCCCTTTAAAAAAAAATAGAGAAAATCGTGGTGTTTGGCCAACAAAAAAGAAGAGAAAACTTATAGAGAATCTGGAACACACTTAGCAAGAAAAAAGGAAGGAAGAATCAAACGGACTGTGTGCCAACAAAACTTTGTTCACTACAGTATTCAAGAAGGTAAATTTTTTCTGCGAAGCTAAGAAGACACAACGTTGTTCACTACCTTTGAGTAACGCTTCCAAAGGAGATAAGGCAAAATAGAAATTTTTTCTTACTTGTTGTTAGAAACAATTGTTACTAATACTTTCAACTTTTATTGAAAATGGAAATTTGTTTTGGTGACAGAGTCTAGGATTTGTTTGTTAGGATTTTGCTAAAACTGAATGTGTATTTTTGTTATGTTGTGTTTTTATTTTAATGCAGAAAAATGGATGAGGTTGGGAGATGGAAGGAATTGAGGGTTGGGAAGAAAATGAAGAGAGAGAGGGGGTTGGGGAAGAAAATGGAGAAAAGGAATGGATTGAGGATGAAAATGAATTTAGTGATATTGAGGGCGAATTTAGTGAGTCCATCTGATGATGAAGAATGCTTGAGGAGTTTAATGTTAATGTTGACATTGACGATGATGTTCAGTCCAATTATGTCTCATCCAATGACTTTGATACCCTTGTATCTTCTAACAGAGAAAATGAGCCAAGATATCCTAAGTTTATGACAGATGTTGACTTGGATGATGTACATTTTGTAGTTGGGATGAAATTTAGTAGTTCACAAGAGTTGAAAAATGCAATCAAAGAGTATGTAGTGAGTGCGTCTTTCAATATTAAGCTCGTAAAGAATGACAAACTTAGAGTGACTGCATGTTGCAGTGGGGAATGTATTTGGAGACTGCATGCTAGTGTTATCCAACCAGATTCAACGATCCAAATTAAGACATCATTCTAAACACATATGGTCCAGGGAATTTCATAACAGGAATGTTAACTCAACTTGGGTAGCAAATAAATATTTAGAGAGGTTTAGAAGTCAACCGACTTGGAGGCTAGTTGAGGTAATGGATGCTATGAGAAAAGACTATAAAGTTCAAATTTCTAAGAGTCAAGCATATAAGGCTAGAAAAAAGACCCTAAAAAAGATCCATGGAACTCTGATTGAACAATATAAAAGACCGTGGATTATTGCGAGGAGTTAAAACAGTCCAATGAGGGGTCAACAATCAAGATTTTCTGTGATAGGGTTGTGGAGGATAGTGACCCTATTTGTAGGAGACTGTATATTTGTTTTAAAGCTTGCAAAGATGGCTTGTATGGATGCATGTCATCTAAAAAGATCGTGTCAAGGACAACTTATGTCGGCAATAGGAGTGGACAAAAATAATTGCACCTATCCCATTGCATGGGCAGTTATTGAGGCAGAAACTAAAGATTCATGGACATGGTTTTTGCCGCTTTTGAAAGATGACATTGGTTCATTCAATGACATTACCTTTATGTTTGATCAACAAAAGGTATTTTTTTTATCCGTTGTTTACCAATATTTTTTTTTTACTCTGATACTTATATATTGATTTCATGTATTTTTTCCTTTCCCTTTTTTATTGATCAGATTATTGTTTAACTTCTCTTATCAGGGATTAATGCCTACCTTTGATGATTTGTTCTCAAATATTGATCATAGATTTTGTGTGAGACATTTATATTAAAACTTTCAAAGATGTTCAAAGAGATGGCTATTAAAAAGGTATTTTGGCAGGCTGCTAAATGTACGACTAGGTCAAAGTTTAATGATGCAATGATTGAACTAGGAAAACTAGATGTAAATGCATACTAATACTTGGATGAGATACCTACAAAATATTGGTCTAGACGTGCATTTAGAGCTGAGGTAAAATGTGATATGTTGTTGAACAATATTTCGGAGTCCTTTAATGCTTTCATTATGCAGGAAAGAGATAAGTCGATAATCTATATGCTTGAGATAATAAGAAAACTGGTAGTGACTCGAATAAGTAAGAAATCAGAGGTTTACTCTAAGATAAATGGTCCATTGGGGAGACAAATTCAACTGAAATTGGATAAGAATAAGTCTTTGTCTAGTAGATCGATACCACAGTGGGTTGAAAATATGATGTTTAAAGTTGAGGAAAATACTAACCAGTATAATGTAAATCTAGAGGATAAAACACGTGGTTGTAGGAAATGAGATTTGAGGGGAATCCCATGTGCTCATTCTATCTAATGTATATATTATATTAAAAAGGAGCCTGAAGAGTTTGTTGTTGAACCATTTCACAAGGAAACTTTTACTCATTTTATTAAACTAGTGAACGACCCCACATTATGGCCTATAACCATAGGAGACCCGCTTAAGCCACCTATTTTGAGAAGACCTCCAAGAAAACCAAGGAGACAACGAATAAGAGATGTTGATGAGCAAGTACCATCTAATTGGATGAGAAGACAAGTTGCATCGATAAGGTGTGGTAAGTAAAAAGTTGTCGGCCATAATGCCCGATCTTGCAAGGGACCTGTAAATGTGAGAGGCCAAAAAAAAGGAAAGAATACATTTATGGGCTTCACTGTTTCTCAATTAGTAAGTTACGGTAACAAATATTATTTCATATACTTAATTTTTTTTAATTATTATTATTTTGCGTATTGTATCTACATGATGATAGAGGAGAAGGAGTAAATTCAATTATTGGCCCAAGTTAAGCCGCACACAATCTTAAGTTGCTGCTTTTTTTAATTTTTTTTCATTTTGTTTAAACCGAAACTATTTGAACTACTTGAAGTTATTGCTTACTCCTGTGTTATTATTTCATGCTTAGACTTACATTCTTTTAAGCCTTTTGACGTGTGGGGTCGAACCGACCTTAATTATGTATGAAAATTTAAATTTAAATTTTTTGTTTTTTTTTTTTGAAAGAATGAGTTAAAGGCACGATGATTTGTTATGTTATAACCAAACTTTTGCTTTTTCATTATCATTTACCTTGTTAATTATTATCTCATACTACACTCTTTTAACATAGGGAGGGCCTAATCATGTTTCTAGGCCTTATCAGACTTCTTGGTCTAATAATCTTTCTAGGCATTATCAGACTTCTTAATTGAAATTCATAGGGAAGACAAAAAAGCTATAAGAAACCCATAGAGAAAAGACAAAAGAACTAAAAATCATAAAAAATTAATAAGCTATAAGCAATAAAGGAAGTAGAAATGGGAGTCATTGATAGTCTTCGTATTTATTGGTGATGAGTAATATTACTTCCACCCCTTCAATTTCTTAAAACATCTTTTCACAAAGATTATATTTCTTTTAGTTCTTCCATCTCTCTATAATTCTACCATTGCATATTAAAAATACAAGGAACAAAAATGGAAAAAAATATATATTTTGTAGATGTTGAACACAGAAACAAAATATTTTGTCCGTTGAGATGTTGAACATAGAAATGACTAGAATGTTTGAGGCACCCATGACAGATTTGTAAACACTGCAACAATAAGGATAAAGGGAACAAAAATGAAAAGTTAAAAAAAAATTTTTTTTGTCAATGTTGAACATAGATACAAAATATATTGCCCATTGAGATGTTGAACACAGAAACGACTGGAATGTTTGAGGCACCCATGACAGATTTGTAAACCCTACAACAATACTAGCGTTAATTAAACCAGAAAAATTCCTAATTTCGTTAGAGAAGACCGTAGAGCCAAAAAAAAAAACTCCTAATTTTGTTAGAGAAGTCAGATTATAGCATAAATTCAGCAATCGATTTGTTGAGAAACAAACCCAAGGAATTGAGATTTCTCAATTTCTCCAGTAGACCTTGAAACTTAAAAATTCATCAACAATTTAATCTTTAACTACAATTACCTCTTTCAATATCAATTTCAATTTTTCTACTCATCAAAACAAAACCCTAAATTAATTTCAACCCACTGAACAAAATCGAACCCTCGTCATTTCATGGCGTGAGTTCAGACGAGAAACCCCGAGAATACCTTTTCGAGAAGGCCGGCAGTGGGAGCAAAGTCGCATTCTTCCGGGGAAATGGTCGCCGACGTCACTTGAGAGAGAATATCTTTCATGAACATAGATGTGGCAATGGCAAAATTCGTAAAGAAGAAGATGTGGGAGAAACGAATGAGAGGGAAGAAGACGTGGGAGAAGAGGAATGAGAGAGAAGGATGATGGTTAGGAGAAATAGTCGCGTCACAATTCAATTACTCAATTTGTAAAATCAAAGTATTTATTTTATTTTTAAAAATACAAGTGCCACCTAAGAGTTTAGAAGGACACGTCAACATTTCGATGCTAACGAAAGTTTAACTTTAGGGACTATTTAGAACTATTTTCTAAASATTGGGGACTAAATTGTCACTTTTTAAAATTTAGGGACCAAATAGAAATTTATCTTCAAA